GTTGTATCACACGTGTTCATTTTGTTTTTCTTACAGGGTTGTACACTATTTAGGAGTAGGAGCTGTTTGGGTCTACTCTTTCCTCCTGTCCCTTAACACTGCCCCACATGGGAAGGACTCAGGGCCTGATAGCTGTGCACATTGAAGTTAACATCACCTTCTGAGAATTCAATTAGGAAGAAACCCAGTGTAGGAGAGGATATGAGCCCTCCGTAGAAATTACCTAGGAGACTGGCTGACTGACTGCAAATAGCCCAAATCTAATTAAGGAGACCTGAGTGAAACTTCAGAGGACAGATAAGATTGTGTTGCATTTATTTTTTTATTTTTTAAAAATATATCTTTATTGATTTCAGAGAGAGGAAGGGAGAGGGAGAGAGAGATAGAAACATCAATGATGAGAGAGTCATTGATCGGCTACCTCCTGCACGCCCCCTGCTGGGGATCGAGCCTGCAACCTGGACATGTGCCCTGACCAGGAATTGAACCAAGATCTCCTGGATCATAGGTCGCTGCTCAACTGCTGAGCTACTGCTGAGCCACGCCAGCTGGGCTCATTGGTTACTTAAAGGCAGGGCCCAATAAATACTTTCTCTATGGTAGACTGATTTTTTGGTCCTTGGGGTAGAAGGAAAGAGTCCAGCCCAGGGGTTTTGTCTCCAGAAGGCATGGGGAGAGGGCCGTGGTCCCAGGGGTGAGGGGAGGAATAAATGAGTGGCTGTTGACTGAACACCCCTATGGGGCCAAGCACTGGCTGAGTGGGTTTATATTCTTTATCTCACTTATTCATCCCAGAAGCCCTGTGATGTATCTTATTGCATCCATTTCACAGATGAGAAATGGAGGTTCAGATAGGTTAAGTAACCTAAGCAGAGGTCACCTGGTGAGCGAGTGGGATTAAATGCAGCTCTGGGAGGTAGGGGTGGGGAGGACACCCAAGAGGGAAAGTACATATACCTTCTGAGTGGGAGGTAGACAGGGCATGGAGGGCCTCCTGGAGGTCTCTGCTTCTTGCCCACACCCAGCATTTGCTCTTCAGGGATAGACTTGGCAGCTGCAGCCTTTGGCTGGGGATTAAATGGTAGGAAATGAGCTTCAGGGAAATTCCAGTCTTGATTCTTTGATGAGGTGAAGGCTGGCATGATGCCCTGCCTAGGAACACCCTGACGGCACGCCCCCCACCCCCATTTGCTTACAGATCACAGAGATACTCCTTCCCTCACCTAAACACAGCACAGATGCAGAAACCCTGTGAGTGACGGGTGGCACTTCTTCTCCAACATCTGGACACGGAGTCTCCCTGATAAACCCCAATCCAGCTTCCACCTCCCCTGATGACCCACTTGTAGCTGTTGCTCAGGCCTCTTAGTTCCATTCCCTTCCTCTTTTGCTGCCTCCACAAGCTCTTGGATGGAGACAATATGGCCTTGTATGCCTTGAGCATGAATATGTATGGGCTTCCGGTCTCTGCAGCTTCTCCGTACTCCTGATGTTCCTGGATCTCCATTCTTTTCTCCAGGGATCACCTAGGAGCAAGTGGCTAGACAGAGGTCAATGCCAGCTGTCGCTGGCCTGGGGCCACCTCTTCACCACTCCTTGGCAAGGCACTGTACATGAGGCCTCGGGGACGCCGTACCCCACATAATCTTCGTTGGTGAATACTTTTCGTTGTCTTCCTTCCTACCAACTTTTCATATGACCTCATTCCACCTCCAAAAGATATCTCTGCCCCAAAGTGCAGCTTCTTTTCAGCTGGAAAGACTTTTCCTGGCAGGAGAACCATGGAGACTCATGGGCAGAAAAGGGGACTGGGGAGCCTGGCCTGGCTCTCTCTGCTCTGGCCCTGCAGAGCCAGCCTGGGGAGGAGACAGTGTCTTAGAGCCCTGGTGCCTTGGGGTGGGCAGGACCTCCCTTTGTTCTAGCTCAGCTCCAGGTAGCAGGAAACCCATAGAAAAGTGATCTAGGGAGTTCAGCCTTCCCCCGGCTTAGGGCTGGCAGCCTCCCAAGCAGTCTGTGGGGTGTCAGGGAGGGAGGTGTTCAGGAGTAGGCTGCAGGAACAGCACAGCCCCACCTCAGCTCTGCAGAACCCAGGCAGGGAGAGCCAGGCCCAGGGACCCCAGTCCCCTTCTCTGTCTCCAGGCCTCCAAGGCTCTTCCACCAGGAAATGTCTTTCTAGCCAAGAAAAAACTGCACTTCGGGGCAGAGGTATCTTTTGGAGGTGTAATGGGGTCTTGTGGGAAGTTGGTGGGGAGAGATATAAATAAAAACATCAATCAGCAAAGATGATGTGGGAAGGCCTTCTGGGCAGCTCCTTGCCAGGGAGTGGTGAAGAATTGGCCCCAGGCTAGCAACAGTTCATGCTGGACTCTGTCCAGCTACTTGCCCAACTCCTGGTGATCTTGTCCGTGTTACATAATTCTCTAACCTCACTTTCCTCACCTTTAAACCAGGGATGAGAGTAGTATCTGCCTCTTAGAACTGCTGAGGGAACTAATTGAGATAATGCATGTAAGGTGCACAGCAGGTTGAGGGGGCCTGGCTCAGAGTAAATGCTCGTTACCATTCATTCATTCATTCATTCATTCATTCATTCATCACTCACTCACTCACTCACTATCTACCTTATCCCAGGCACCATTCTAAGGGCATAGGATATATCGATGCACAAAACAGACCAAGTGTCCTGTCCTTCTGGGGCTTGTGTTCTCCCCAGGGTAATATTGGGGGAGGAGACAAACAACAAACAAGAAGCAAGATAAATAATTAAATGACTAGTATGTTAGGTTAGAGTGCTAAGGAAAAAAGAAAATGCAGCAGAGATTATTACCTTTTCCCCCAGAATTTGGGCTTACTCTTATTCATGTCTCCCTTCTATGGAAAAGAAGAAACCTCTTTTGCCTCAGGCCATGCCCGGTGACAGTTGCCATCTCCTCCTGATGTTCTATCTGACACGAATGACAGTGACTAGGTTTTAGCACAGGCAGCTTCACTCATTTGTTCCTTCAACCAGCAGATGTTTACGGAACACCTCATTATGGAATGCTCAACATGGCTCCCAAGTTCTTGCCCTGAAGGGCCTTGCAGGTGAGGAAAGAGCTGCGTGTGAATAATATGAGAGAGTGATCAGGCTTCAGAGAAGGGCAGGCAGGCGCTGGCGGGGAGGAGTGGGCAGTGTGCACCCCACAGAGCGTGCGCCCCCCGCAGTGCCGGCCCCTCCCTGGACTCGGGGCTGTTCCACCACAGCTTGCTTTGGCTCTTTTCTTCTGGTAAGTTGATGGACTGTTCCTTAGTGTTGAAGGGAGGGAAAATATGCACTGCTATTTCTGAGGGGGAAGTTTCTAGGTTGGCCTTTGAGCAAAATCAAGACCTGGGATCCCCATGTCACCCCACCTCCTCAGCGGGGAGGGATGCCGTAGCCATCTGTCCAGTCCTGTGCCCAGCCTGTGACATGTCTCCGCCTCATCAGCCCTATTATATGGCATCTGCTGCCCTTAGTTAAAGGCCATCCTGATCCTGGAAGAGCAGTGTGAAGGGAGAGAGGTCCCTTGCTGCAGATGCCGATGCTGTGGGGAAAGGAGGTGGCCCCATGTCTCTGGGGCTGTGACTTCTTGAATGCAGAGGAGACCCAAGTCTGAGGGAGGTGGCTTGGCCACATGGCTAGGAAACGGAGGCCGTGTGTGTGTCTGACCACAGAAGCAGACACACCGCCTTGGGGTTTGGAGCTGGGAACAGACCGTTCTCCCTACAGTCACCACTCACATGGACCACGGTGATCTCTCCTGCTCCAGGCCCCCTCAGCTGCTGAGTCATGCTCCCTGGGGTTCACAGAGGCACAGCTCCAAAGCCAGGCTGAGTCATTAGATGATGAATTGTGGAATTCTTATTCTGTCACTGCAGCAGCAGTGGGCTCTGATTCCCACCCCCTGCTCCCCAGCCAAACCTCTCAAAACATTCTCCCCTCACTTGTCATTCCTTCTTCACCTTGGGGGGCCCTGACAGTGAGCACAAGACAGCAGTGGGATGCATAGGGGTATCCCTGAGCTTCCCTTCTTGTGTCTGGCTTCTGGATCTGTTATAGGGACAGGGTTCTCGTCTGTTAGCTCAGGAAAGAACCTTAGATTTCATTTCATTCAACTTTCTCATCGACAAACAAGGAAACAGACACAGGTTCAGGATTTAGAGCTAGTTGGAAGGGCAGCTTTAGAGTCAGATCTAAATCTGCTTAGCATGAGCAAGCCTCACCAGGCTTCCGTGTCCTTGTCTGTCAAATAACATTAACATTCCTACTTTGGAGCGGTTGAGGCTGCTGGAAGTCATGGGTGAAAAGCACAGGGAGGTGAGTGCTCAAATGCTGCTATTTGATCTGTATTTGAAGGGGAGCCGGAGGCTGTGTGAATTAGAAATAAGGACCTGAGGTCTTTCCTCTTCTTGCTCAGGACACTCAAGAGGGATGGGGAAGGAGCTGGGGGGTAGGAAGCAGGGCCCACTGATCAGAAACAGTGGGTTGGGCCAGTAGGCAGATATTCCTACAGCCAGATACCTCCCAGCCCTGCAGGGGCCACCGTGAGCTAGCAAATGCAGCATGCTAGAAGGTATTCACAGATGTCCATTTGGTTTTCCCAAAACAGAAAGCAAGCAAGGACCAGTGGTGGGCGCAGCCACCCTGACCTGACTCCTCACCCACAGTCATACCCCACCTGAGTGCTTATGCATGCAGTCCTGCTGGGCCGGATCCCCTGCTGGCTCCCACCAAGGGTCAGCCTGGAAGGTATACTTCTCTGCCCAGAGGGCCCCTTTGTCTGCTACAAGCAGGAGTGGCCGAGAACAAGGACGGGACCACAGATGATGACTGTGCCAGTCACCCTGCTCTTGTAGTGTCCCCAAGTGCTCTGTGTTGGCATCTTTGGAGCTACAGCAGGGGTGGCCGTGTTATCTTTCCCTTTGCCATTTGGGCCTGGGTGTTGACAGTCCCCCATACCCTTGAACCATCTAAGAAAATGTTCACATTTTTAAAAAGAATTTATTGAGAAACAGAAGATATAAAGTACATAATAGAAGGAACTAAAGAGTTTACCACAGATTTTTTCAGCCCATTTCAACTAAAAGAAATTTACTGGGCTAAAACCATGGATACCAAGGTCCCAATTCCATTTTCAACCCTGTCTCTCTTGGCTGCTAAGCCAACCAGTTCATACTTTCTCCTGAGACAAGTCAGGCTGCCTTCTAAAACCTCCCCAAACCTACTTCCTGATTGCCTCTTTATACACAGGCCCTTCTCTATTTGGTCCTAAAGATTCCTCACGTGGGGCTTCAAGTGAGGTCCACCCTGACCCTACTGCACCTTCTCCACTCCTTCAACCAAAGGTGTCTGTGGTCCCTCAAAGATCCTTTTTTGCTCTTGTCCTGATTCATTTAAGTAAACTATATTCATGAACCAGTGGAGTAGGATGGTTCTGCTACCTCTGGTAAAGTTACCAATCTTCCTAAGCCTGCACTGGAACTTGGTCTTTCTCTTGCTAGGAATGTTTCCGAGTGCTATCTCGGACACCTCTCTGCCACAGCTAGTACAAGACTGCATTCTCCCCAAAACAGAATTCTGCGCCCCTGTCCAGTCTCCCATTTAATTAATGGGTTAACTTTAGTTCCCAGTTGATCTGTCAAGGAGAGATGGTCGAGCACCTTGATCTTGACACCCACCTTTGAACCCTACCCAGGCTCAGGTCACCAACCTCACCAATTTCCTTGGAAGATTTCTGACTTCTCACATGGAGCTCTGCCCCTGTGGAATCCTGTCTCTGTAGATTTATTATATGGCATGGCATTATAGACACAGTAATAATAAGACTACAGTGAAAGGAGAGCTATTCTCTCCCAAATTATATTTTCTCTAAATTATCAAGATTTGGCCACTCTCATCGTTTTGAACCTCTAAAAATCTATGGTTATCGGTCCTTTATTAGCAGTCTGATTCTCAGCTGGCCTTTAGGAATATCATTGCATCTTAGCAAGTTGGCCATTGGTCCCTTCTGCTCCTATAGTCACGGTTGTGTCATAGTATATGGCATCTTCAAACAACTGCTGGAATGCAAAATAAAATAGTCTTCTCCAAAGGAGAAGCCGTTAATAGCTCTACCCAGATGTTCTTGAGCTTTTACCTCGCAATATGTGCACATCACATCCCATTCAAGCTCACACTGACGTAAGAATACTAGGTTAGTACAAGCGAGTTTAACTTTTTTCCAACCAATACCTCGATTTGAGCTTTATGGCATACAAAACACAAAATAATTCTACTTCTCACCCAGTCCTCACAACCCTGTGAGGTGGGCATGGTGGATATTATTATCCCCATTTTACTGATTTAGAAACTGAGGTTCAGAGAAGTTAGGGAGCTAGACCAAGATAACACAGCTATTAAGTGGAAGAGCTAGCACTCAGCCCAGGTCTCTGCTTCCTCATTCATTTTAGGTGCAAAGAATATGAAAGAGGTTTCCTACTCCCTTTCTCCCTACCTGAACCAATGTGTGCACAACCTAGAAAGTTCCAAACAGGAAAAGGAATGATTGACCAAGTTAACTGTCATAGTCCAATGCAGGGTGTATCTTTCACAATCTTCCTGATTTCTTAACATCTGTAGTTTAACCAAGAACTTTCAGTGCTGAGTGGTGCTTTCTGTGGGTTTCATTAGGATTCCCTGGTCACAGTTAAGATGCTGGGGATTTTACTCTAAATTGGCTCAATGTTATACTCCCCATTTGTTTCATATTTTGCCAATGTTCTGTGCCTTCCCACCCCTACTTTCTGTCAATCTTCTAATGCCTGGCTTTCCAAGATGCTTCTAGCTTCCTGGAAGGTCATGAGGCTCCTGCATGTCTGTGGCATTCCGTGGGATTTTCCTCTTGCAGTCAGGTGACAATTCCTTTCTAAAGGTTTCTGTTCCTGCTATGTCTCCTGGGTGAGCCACTTGGCTGGAGCCATTTTACCAGCCAGGTCCTCGGCATATGGTTCCTGTACAGCTCTGCAGAGCTGTTGTTCCAACCTGAAGGTATATGATCCCTCAGGTCCCCTTCCACACACATAAGCAGGACATCCCAATCTTATCTCTTTTGTGACTGGGAGCTGAGCCACCCCCCGGGAAGCATATGGTGGGCTGTATCCACAGTGGCCCCCTGCTGGGGATTTCCCATAAGCCAAGGTTTTGGACATCTTGGCTGGATGGGGCTATGGCACTTAAGATGGCAAATCTCTGGAGTCTTATCACTGTCACATTCCTTTTCACAGATATTAATTCATTTCACACACATTTAACTCACAGCACCAACTATGAGCCATCATGTTGCTAACTCTGCAGATAGAGCTGCAAAGACAGACCCTCCCCACCAACGCAATTCACCCTATACCAGCTGGTTCCTTAGAATAACTGTTTGGTTTCCAGTTGGTCTGAATTCGTTGGTGAACTCAACAAGACCTTTCCCTGCCTTCTGAACACTCTACAGTGATCCCATCACCACCGGGGACCACTGACCTCTATACACCTTCCCAAGGTGGGTTCCTCTGCAGTCACCAGATAGACACCTGTCCTAATGGTCCTTCTCCCTGCCACACCTGGCCAGCTGGTACCCTCCCCCTGACTCCTGCCCCTCTAACAGAACAGTCTCATTTGTGCTGAGACATATTCATTTGCAAATCCTGTAGCTATTCTTGAATATCATTTATAGAGGTGCGTTTTTAAGAGTAAACATCCAAGCATACATGTTACTTAATGGACAATAATAACTAAGAAGAAATGTGCATATATGAGTAACAGCACGAAATAACTCAGAAAGAACCCAATCTCCTAAATCAGACTATTTACATATTTTGAACCTATTTCCACTCGGTAATGATTCAAACATACTTTCACCTTGTTGCTATCATTATGTGATCATAATCCAAATTCTTTTTTTTTTTTTTGCTTATGATTGCATCACATAACATATTCTTGTAAATAGTTTTCATAGTTATCATACATGAAGACAGTAGCTCATTGCCCTAGCAGACCACAATCTACTTAGCTGTCCCCCCACAGCTGAGCAGTTTCCAGTCAAGACTTATAATTTACAGGGTGGCCACAAATACCTCTGTGCAAATACTTTTTTTCTTTTGAATTATTTTCCCAGAATGTATTCCCCAAAGTGAGTTAACTGGGGCTTATCGTCATCTTTTTTTACTCGTCAAGTATTGCTAAAATTCTCTCCAGGAAGCACCATTTTATAGTGCCAGGAGTCTTATTTCTCCACAACATATTTTTAAAGTGTATTTCTGACATATGCAAGTGGCTAACATTTTAAAATCATTTTGCTTAGCTGTCCTGGCCTTTGCACATTTCCTCCTGGGCACACAGCCTCTTTGGTCCTTTGACCAAGTAAGATATCTTGGTCTGCATATATGGAGGCCTAGCTTGTACTCAGACCAATTCTACATATGCAGTTTTCTCATCTTATTGGTTTTTAAAATTATTCTTTCCTGTATACAGTTTAATTTTTTATATAATTGAATTTGTACTTCACATTGATGATTTCCCCCATCATGTCAATAAACAAGCAATAACCTCCCTAGAAAAGGATTTTCTTTTCCCCACCCAAATGCCCTGCGCTTTCCATCTGGACTTGTCCAAAATTCCTCTGGTTCCCATGAACATTCCATTGTCCATGATTCCCACATTACAGTTCCCTTAGGTCATCTCTCGACAGCCCCTGGCTAAACACGTCTACTTCAGTTCCACCTTTGCCCTGACCTCTGCAAAGGACCAGTGGTCGTGGCTCACCTCCAACTACTAGATCCTTCCTTCCAAGTTTTACTCTTCCACCATCCCTGCCCCACTACCAACTTCTCAGGGTTTTCAGCTGTTTTGTCTCCCCAATCCCACACCTGGCCTCTAGGGTTAGATTGTTTTCCCAGCAGTAGTGGCCGACTGAAGAACACATTCCCTCACCCCTCAGTTCAGCCAAAATTTCTCAAAAGGAATTTTGCTGGAAAACTAAGAGGGAAACTAAAAGTAGACTCCAGGAAGTAGAAAGATATCAAAACAGGAGAGATTTTACATCCTACGTAGGTCTTGGATCGGAGGTGGCAGGGGCACCTGGGGGTTCCCCTCCTCTCACTCAGAACCCTGTGTGTTAGACTCGGACCCTGCTAGGTTCTGTGTTCTAGCAGCACATTCTCTTCACGGACCTTGAGGTAAACACCTCTTGGCTTCTGCTGGCGTCTGTACTTGATCCCCCATGAAGCCCACCTCATACTGCACTGGGGGACTCCATTACCAGAGAAGCCTCTAATTCATGACCATGGCTGGTGGAAGATGCCATTAACTGCCACTTCGAAATCCCACGCATATTCTGACCTGGTGTGTCCCTGTTCCAATCCGAGAAGAGCTAGTTCTCAGCTCTTCCAGAGGCATGTGCCCGACGCGCCCTGAGACCTCCTGGGCTCAGAGGACTTCTGCCCACCTCCCCAAGGCTCCTGCTGGGCTCCTCCACCAGGAATGGTTTCGAAGAACAAAAATTAGGACAAGCTTACAAATCTCAGAAACTTAAAACTATACCAACAATAGCAGAGAGGATGTCGGCGATGGTGGGAGCAGTCACCCACAAAAAGCAAGAGGTGTGGTAACTCCGAGCACCCCGCCAGCCCTCCTCCTCTGCTTCTGAGAGCTATGGTCATGCCACAACCCTTGGTCCCTATCTCTGCACACTCAAAAAGGGGTTGGCAGTGTGGCACATCACACTGAAAAGTTGCCAACGCCTGCCCTCTGGGAAAATGCCCTCGTTTACCACATCCCATGGCAACCCTGCCTCCCTCCTCCTGCCCCGCTCCCTCCCCAATCCCACCCAGTTCCACCCCAGTCCCAGCCCTTTAACTGTCAGGAGAGCGGACCCGAAAGATGTGGATGGTCCCGTTACTGAGGGACACGACCAGGTACCTGCCGTCCACCATGGTGGTCACCCGGGGCTTTTCCAGGCCGTGATAAGCTGTCAGGAAGTCACCTAGCAGTGACCCCTTCGGGTCCAGGATCACCACCTTGTTGACCTCACGGAGGGTCAAAAAAATATAGCCCTTCTTATCCACAGACACCGAGCCTGGCTGGCAGCCATGCAAACCTGGTCCTCCGTACTCCCCTATCACCTGACCCAGCCCATCACAGACCACCACACTATTCTGCTGCCAATCTGACCCCACAAAATTGCCCTGGGGACTGGTGGTGAGAAACACTAGTGCCCGAAGGCCCCGGTTGGCCTTGCCTCCAGGGATAAAGCGGGTGGCCAGGCTGCCTTCCATGTTGTACACCTCCACGTGCCCCGACACGCTGACAGCCACCCGGTCCCCACTCGGCATTGCAGCCACAGCATGGCTGGCCTGGGAGAGGCTCAGGGCCCGGCGCCACTGCACCTCACCGTCAGGACTTATGAGGTAGAGCCGAGCCCCAGCTGAGAAGGCCACCGCACCCTGCAAGGCGGCCACGCTGCAGGGGGAGCAGCCCTCTGGGACAGGCACGGCGCCTTTGTAGTCTCCATTAAGGGAGAAGCGCTTCAGAGCCCTGTTCTGCTCATCCGCCACCAGGATCTCCCGGGGGCCAAAGGGACAGATCCCAGTGATTCGGGGAGACCGCTTGTCTCCAGGCATCCGCGTGGGAAAGCTGCAGGAAAAGATGGGCCTGGGGAGGAGGCCGGAGCCCTCCAGGTTTGGCCCAGGGGCAGGGCTGGGCTCCCGGGAAATTGACTTGAGCCTGCCTTTGAACTTCCTCTTCTTGTTGGATCTGCCGCCCCCTGCAGTCTGGGCTTCTCCATCTTCTTGCGGCATCTGGGATCTGCCCTCTTTTGGGGTCTGGGCTCTCTCTGCCTTTGGGGTCTGGGTTGCATCTTCCTGGGGTGTTTGGGCTCGGTCCTCCTTGGGGGTCTGGGCTCCATCCCTACTCTGGGGATGGACTGCACTGTGTCTCTCAGTCTTGGCTCTATCCTCTCTGGGGCTCTGGGTTTCTTCACCTCCCTGGCTACCAGCTCCATCTTTCCCACTGTTCTTCTGGGGCTTCTGATTCTCAAAGGAGAGCCACAGCAGGTGGCAGTTCTTGTCCAGCAGCCCAGGATGGAGCTCCAGCTGGGGCAACAGACAGGGAGCTTGTCCAGGCATCCAGGGACAATCCTGCAGCTGCCTGAGCCTCTGGGCAATTGCCCCCTCCAATGAGAGTATCTCGGCCTCACGACCCAGGCTGAGCACCCGACGGGCAAAGGCAGCCGCTGCCCTGGCCACCTGCTCCCGGCCCTCCAGCTCCCCCAGCCTCTCCCGAGCAGCCTCCTCGGCAGCCTCCACGTGGGCCCGCAGCTGCCCCAGCACCTCCTTCTTCTGGGCCAGAAGGGCCCGGAGGACCCCCTCAGCAGCCTCCTCCACCTGTGTCCCCACCCTGGCCGCCTGCTCCCGCAGGTGGGCTAAGGCTTCCTTTTCCACCATCCGGGCGGCCTCTAACTCAGCCAGGTTCTTGTCCACGCCCGCTAGTAACTCCTCAAGGCCTGGTCTCCGGGCACGCACAGCTTCAGCCAAGGGCAGGCAGGGGTGGTCCAGGTGGGGGTCAAGGCGACACTCACGGCATAGTAGCTGGGAACAGGGCTGGCACAGGAAGCGCAGGGCTTCCCCTGGGTGCTGGGGACACTGGGCTGCCTGGCGCTCCCGGGCCTCCTCATCATACCACCCTGCCCGGTAGCCCACCAGGTCCACCACTCGGTGGGTGTGAGTCTGCCGAGTGCAGCGGTGCCCATCGGCACAGGCCTGACACAAGTCATCGGCACAGTCTAGGCACCGGGCTGTGGCTGGCCCCCCGGCACTGGCGCCCCCCATCAGGGGGCACAGTGCACAGGCTGGCTTTCCTGCACGTAGGTCTCCACCAGCCCGGGCCTTCACCAAATCCAGGAGCCCGTTGACAAAGAAGTTGGTCTTGAAAGCTGCCACACCTGCTGGTGGCACGGGCACGGTCTCACGGCACTCGGGGCATCGGAGGTGGCCGCCCTCGGCCAGCTGGGCTAGGCAGTCCTGGCAGTAGGTGTGCAGGCAGGGCAAGGTTTTGGGCGCCCGCAGCTGCTCTAGGCAGATTTTACAGGCCAGGAAGTCGCTGCTCAAGGCCTCCAGAAGGGACGGCGAGGATCCCTGGGACACCATGCTGCAAGCAAGGGTCAGGATTAGAGGGCAGAGGGCACCACACAGTGCGTCCAGCCTGCCCTCCTGCCTCTCCCCCTACGCTCAAGCCCCACCAGGTCTGGAGAATCACCTGAATGGCCAGGAATTTTCTTCCTGTCTTCTGAGTCCTCTGGCCATTTGCTCTTGAGCCAGGTAAATGTGAACAAGTCAGTGCTGCTTGCATGTGTCAAGAGATGTAAGAAATGACAAGACCAAGAAGCCCCTGGCCTCAAAGAGCTAATAGTGTAATAATTAGTGCCCTCAGCTGACAGGCCTTTTGGCAAGTGTGTTCCGAGCCCCGTGTGAATAGGTCTTAGGGATCCTGCTGAGGCCGAGGGGCTGGGGTGGGGGAGACACCACAGAAGTCCAGGTGGGCAGAGTTGTCTTGACTCCTGGCATCTGGGGTAGTAGAAGGGGCCCCAATTTCCCTGGTGCATACACCTGTCTTCTAGACCCTGGGAGTGGTTTCATGGGCAGTGGGGGCCCCGCTTCCTGCCCTGACTTTCTGAACCGGGTTCTGGAGCTGGCAGCAGGGTGGCTGAGGGGAAGGGGCAGCCCTGTCCTCTCCTTTCTGCTGCTGGACCTTGGGGGTCACTGTAGCCTGTGCCTCAACTCCTAGAGTCCTCTTCTTTCAGTCCTTCCTGCTGCAAGAGGCCCTCTGTTCTAGAAACCTCTGAAGGGCCCGAGTCATGTGAGGTTTATCTGCGAATCCTCCCAGTTCCCAGCACAGTAGCTGTGAAATATCTGATGAAGGGACTTGGGGAATTTCCCCCAAACTTCCGAAAAGTGGGGGCTGGGAGGCGAGCTCAGAGAGTGGAAGGGGGTCTTTCCCAGGGAAGCCTCAGACCTCTGGCCCCGTGGGGTGAAGTGGGGGGTGCTCCCTCCCAGCCT